TAAATAAATATATATACAAAAAAATGCTATACTTTTAAACACTACAAACTACACCACAATAACTACTCCTTAAAAATTTTTCATTGAATTTAGAAAAATAGTTTTAATTCATAAAAATTGTTGTGTAAGAAGAAAGCTATTCATTCATGCAATTAAATTACCGAATACTATATAATAATAATAATATAATACTATAGTATTGTTTAATTGTCTTTTAATCACTCAATTCAATTGACTATAAAGAAAATTTTTACATGAATTTCAACCGTTTCTATCTATCTATCCATCCATAGGGTTGGGAGTTATTAGTATTGAATCGACTGAAGTGGGATTTGGCAGCAATTACTCCGAACGACTTCTTAAATATACTTATCCGAAGACTTCATAAGTGGCCAAAAGTGTCTGAAGTACAGAAACTGATCAAAAAACACGCGCAAACATTCATCGCATTATGTGCTGCAGGTAAGGACAGACACATTGATATATATATATATAAATTATATATATATATTCAATATATATATATCCCTTCCGGTGCCTGCATTAGCAAACAACAATATACATACATACCTGAGCCGCTGCGCCGCTAATATTCGGCTAATTTTTTTCAATTCAACATTAGTATACACTTTTTTTCTCTCACACTTTTTACTCTCTCTCTCTCTCTCTCTCTCTCTCTCTCTTTCTTTCTGACTATCTATTTCTCAATTCATTGACACATATATTACATATGAATGATTCAAATAAATTATATATATATATGTGTTTTGAGTAAAACAAAGAGCTTTTCAATGGTTCGCTAATAAATCAGTTGCTAAATGTGTGGTATATATTAAGTGTAATGATTTGTTCAAATATAAGAGACAGGTTTTCATACATTTTAATCGACTCATTGGGAATCTTATGGGGCTTTTTGGCTGTCTTTAAGAGGGGGGGAACCAGAAAAAAACAGTCAATTAATTCACATATCAATGCGTTTTGCAATTGCAATGAATCTTCAAGTGGTTTGTGTGTCTGTGAATCGTTTATAATTGCGGTCTCTCTATGTATATATACTGTATATCTCAATAGTGAAATAATTTTTATAAAATATATCTGAAAGGGAATGTTGTGTGACGGGAAAGGCTAAAATCGTTGAGTTATGGTTAGACATGCCGTGCCCGACAAGTATGACGAGTTAGCACTCATTTGATGCAATCGTTTGCCAATTTTATTTATACCTTCATTTTTTCTATGTATGTATGTGTATAACAAAGTGTATAAATTATTTAATAGCAAAAATCAGGGGATTAAAAAATTTTATATACATAAATGTTATGTAATATACACATTCATTTACCTAAAAAATTTATTTATATATATATTAAAACATTTATATACATTTTAATTGCTTTAACATAACATAACAAAACATATCCACACACACACACACACAAACAAAATGAAAATGTTAAAAATGTTTTCCCATCAAACATTTATTTATTTATTTACTTGTTTTATCAAAATATTTGGCCAAAAATTATCTAAAAAAACCAGTTAGTCATCAAACTTTATTTCTATATATTATATAAATTAAATATATATATATATATACTTTATATAAGACACAATCCAGACATTAATTTATTTGAATTAAACAAATTTTGATAGCTTTTTAATTAAAATAGATTTGTATCAAAATATTTATTTTACACAAAAAAATCAACGAACAACAAAAAATTGTTTCAACAACAAAAAAAATCACTAAATATTATATATACAGAGTATATACTTTAAAGCACTGATTTTTTCTCTGAATTTTTTTTTAAAACATTGAATATGTTTTGCATTTCATTACCACAAAATGAAAGGACATTTAATTCAAGTTTTTTTTTATTTTTAGTTATTTTTTTAAATGCTATAAAATAACGAAATTCTTCAGCGGAGGTCTCCCAAAGTCGACATACATTTAATGAATTTCTTTGTATATATAAAAAGTCGTGTTTTAATTTTTTCTCATAATATATATATAATTTTTATTATTAGTTTTTATCCACACAGAAAAAAAGTGATTCATTTTTATGGCTTTTATATAATTTGAAAAATAGTCATAGATTTTAAAAATTGTCAAATTTTTGTTGTTTTTACGCTCAATCAGACCACAAAAAACATAACTAATTAATTTTTTGTTGAAATTTTTTTTGAAAGTCAGATCTTTATAAATATCTATATAAAATATTAACATTTTATAAGTTATGTCTATTATGTAAAATGTCATATTATTTCATTTATTATCTTTTATTTTTTAATACTTTATTTTTTTATTTTATCAATTTCAATTTTAATTGCTAATTTGTGAAACACTTTCACTTTTATTTTCTTTATTATATAATATATATCACGATATTTTATTATATATATATATAATAAATAAGTATTATAACTCTTTTACCTCATTTTTTATAAGAAAAATGTAATTATATTTTATCAATATAAATATTTATATACAGGTATATAAATATAAAATCTTTTTTTTATATACTTGAAAACTAAATATCAATATTATTATTAATGAAATTTCAATTGCACATATAGACAGTATAATAATGATAGTATGATATTTAAATTATAATCAAAAAAAATTGTTGACACCTGTCGCCAAAAATGAGTTGATAATTACTATTATTATCAATAATAGACACTAAATTAGGTCTATTTATATTATATATGTTTGTCGCTAACAAACATTTTTATTGTCACTTAATTAATGCCAGTATCATCTATTTAATTTTTATATTATTTAAACACTTTAATTATAATCATTATCTGAAATAATTTGAATGTTACAAATAATATTAATTGAGTGTTATTTTACTTAATATGAAAAATACTCTTACATTGATGATATATAAAGTAATATATTTTTAATTATTATTAAGTAAAAATATTAAATACAAACATGTACATAAAAAAATATATATTTATATAGCTTGTCTCTATGTATAATCATAATAATAATAAAAATTTATTTAATGTACTCGAAAGCCATATTATACTGTATATTATGATTTGTTCAATTGATACAAGCATTAGTAGTAGTTTTTTTTTAATTTTATTATTTATATTTATATTAGAAAAAAGTGGCAAAACACGGAAAAACTAAAATAATTTTTTGTGTTGTTATCATTTTGTTGACATTAGATTGTGATTATGTTTGCACAATGACCTACTGCTAGGGCGACGAACTTTTTCTCATAAGAAATCAAATTTCTAATATATATATAAATTAAATATAAATTTATATATAAAAAAGTCTACCAATTAATCATTTTTTTGTGACTACTATTTTAATTTAAGTATCACTCCATACTCTCTCTCTCTCTCTCTCTCTCCATATACACTAACACATAGTTAATACATTTGAGAGATAAAAAACAGTTAATAACGTTGATTATAGTATTTTTTATATAAAATATTTTTTTTATTCATAAATCATTTCATTCAAAAGGATTGAACATATTGTTTGCTCTGAAGTAGTTTTTTTAGTCGCATTTTTTCCCCTAAAATAAAATTTTCATTCATAAGACTTGTTAGTGTGTAGTGTGTTTTGTGTTAACACTTTTTCATTTCTCACACTCATATGTTTTTAATATGTGTTATTAAAAAAATTATTATTATTATTTTATATGGCAATGCTTTTTATTAGTACAGTAGTTATAAAATACTACAACATTTACTATTGAAATAAAACTACACACACATCACATATATATATATATATACTGTATATATATTCTTTCATTCATTAATTATAGTGTCACTGTTAACATAGAATTAATTTTGATTTAATTATATAACATAACATATATTTATATAAATTACAGTATATTTTTAAATATCAGAATAAATTTGATGGAAACATGAGATATGAAAGCAAAAACATATAGTTTTTAATCGAAATTCTTGTATTCATTAATTTTATAAAAAAAATATTTTTAAAATTAGTATTTTGTTTCACTAGACTAATAAATATAATATTATTGAAAATTAATAATTATATCATATATATATATATATATATATATACAATTTCCTAACAAACAATTATGCAATATATTATACAGTATAATGCAATTAAATTAAATGTTTTATTCGTTGTTAGTTGAGTACAGTACAAGTCGGATATTAATAAACATTTACAATAATGTTAATATTTTAATATAATATTTTTCCGATAATAATAAAAACAAATTTAAATAAAAGTATCCAATTTGTATTGATAACCACACGTGTATCATCTATCAATATTGGATATTTAGTGCACAATTGAACTCAATTCAATTTATAAAAAGCATAACACATAGGAATTTCACAGCCATTTATAACAACATAAATATATTGAAATATTTAGTCAACAAAAAGCCCTTTAGACCGTAAATTTTTGCTGTAAAAATAAAGTGTAAATATGTTTATGATTTGCATGACTTGTGAGAAAATGCTTGTTAATGGCTATACTGTATACTATAGATATCTATATTATACGAGTATTAAAAAGGAGTTCATATCTTAGACTTCAATATATATATACAGTTAATGGCAAAAGTCGTGAGAGAAAGAGATCCACAAAAATTAACTCTTTCGCTCTCTCTCTCTCTCTCTCTCCCTCTCATATAGTACTTGAGTTACTCTCAAACTACAGTTCCCTATGTTTTTTTCGGGTGATCACTTGGTTTTGTGTTTTTGTTGTGTGTGTTAAAACATTGGTGTAAAGTGTTGGCATTTGGGTTATTATTACTTGTATTTTTGAGGAATTTCAGGGCATTTTGTGGGCACTCCATGTGTGGCACTAAATGGTTTTTAGTATTAGTATTATTATTAGTTAGTAGAGTCACTGTTTTTAGTTTAAATGGTTTAAAATAAAGTCTAGTTTTCAGCTGAGGAAAGAAATCAGTCAAAAGAAATAGCAGTTTTTCTTTTTAAATCAAAAGCTTATGTTTTCACAGAAAGAAAGACTATATCAATATTATATATATATATATATATATATATAAGCGCTTATATTACTGTATATAATAAATATAATATGTATACAATATTATGGACATTTGGCAGCAATATTACAAACTATATATTTATGAAGTTCATTATAACTAACTAATTATGCCTTTTAATAGTAAATTTTGGTATTAATTATTATAATATACTTAAATATATATGATATTTATGTATATTAAGACTTGCAATGTTATCAAACATATGAACACTTGTTTTTAGTCAATGTCTGCAAACTTCAATCTCCACTTAAGGCTATTTTTATTTTATTTTTTGATTGATTTTCATTTCAATACACTGTATTTAATATATATTCTTTAGTTACACATTACAACAAAAAAGTAATTTTAAAAAAGCATTTCTAAAGGGTTTAAAATAAAATCCCAAATGAGTGCTGTCTGACACTAAGTTATGCAATATAACTAACTAATAATATCATATATAATATGTATATTTTCTGTATTATATTTAAAAAATACATGTCTAGTGTCTGGTAATAATAACTTTTCAATATTTTGTAGTATAAAAATCAATGCATAGTTTGTAGTACAACATTAATAGTAGAGTCATTGATAAAGTATTGATATAATTTGAGATTTAAACTCTTTAATGACGACGACTTTTCCCATGAATTGCTATTATACTGTATATTATATAAAACATATACACAATAATATACTTTATTAATATATCATTTCCCGTAATTGCCATTCATTCATAAATTAGTTTTTTATATATAGTAATTGGTTTTGCGTATCCATTGAGGATGTAAGGGATTGTGTGTGTGTATGTGTGTGTGTGTGTGTGTGTAGGTCCGCATCCCTGTCCCAATGCCATTGAGATGACATCCTTGCCAACAAAATACAGGCAACAACCTGTTTGCCCTTTAAATGCCATTTAATGCCTATTGTTTGCTTTTAATGCATATTTTTACTTTTTGTCTTAAGATATTCACCAATATTTGCTAATAATCTTATTTGTCAATTAATATTTTTTTCATTGTATTGAAAAAAATACACACAAATAATAAGTAGTCATTTACTTTATGTATACATACAATGGTTTTCATTGAAAAAAGTTGTTTTTTAAGTCAAACAAAGAAATGGTTAATAAGAGGGAGAGGAAACATAAAGTTATAGCTCTGGGAGGGATGTATTGATTCGGACAGCCATTGATAATGATTTGATGACATATAAAATAGTTGTATCTGTGAAGGACACACACAAACCAAACTATCAATGAAGCATTTCTTTGTTGCCTTTGGGCCGGAAGTCAAGTTAGATGTATGTGTGAGCTCTTGTTATATCTGATGTATGGTATGCAATGGCTCAGCACTGGGCTATCCGATTGATAGCCTAATATCTAATGTTAGTGACTGTGCTGTTAATGTTGATGTTGTGGCCCTCAATGGTGAGACTCCGAGAGCACGAAATTCCAATATAATAGTTGTGATAATATTGTAGTGCTTCTCACCAATCATGCCATACATATATACATACTTTTCTACATATATATATTTATATATAACTTATATATTATATATATGTGTGTATATATTGCCATTATTTATCACACAACTATCGGCACTCTGGGCTCGTAGACATCCAATGGCCAATCACTGAGGGCCTAATCTTATATTCCAAGTGCTTATAACATATACATATACCGCCAAAAAATCACAAAACAAAAGTTACTCAATTGGGGGTTTCCTATAAAGTCGGTCTAACTGTGTGTGTGTGTGTGTGATTGAGAGTCATGAAGTTTGTATAATGTCAGTAATCTTCAAGTAATATATGACCCGTAGTTTTAAATAGTTTTATGCATATATATATATATATAATACATATAGTAATATAAATTATATATAAAGAAAAAGGCAACCAAAGTATTTGCCGTTTTATTTGTGTTTTGTTTGAAAAGTTTTATAACTTTTAGACATCTCTAATACTTATAATAATGTTGTTATATATATAAACTAAAAATAACTAATAAATTATTAAACAAAAACATTGCAATATATTCTCATAATAGGCTTAATAAATAGTTAATATTTAGTTAATATTAAATAAAACAGTTGTGTACTTGAACTAAGAGCTCATCATATTATTATCATTATCTCGAGATAAAAATATTTGTTGATATGTTTATATAACGGCTAACAATGAGAGCAACACAACAACAACAACAACAGCTCCGGCGCTCTCATTGCATCCCACACTGGAGTCGGGACGGGTAGACAACTGAGAGAAATAGAGAAAGTGAGAGTCAGTTGATAGTCAGGTGCTATTTCTCACCATATGTTTAGCACTTTTATTAGACTCGTATATACTGTATTATATATATATTAATATATTAATTAAGTTATACATTACATTATTTTTAAATATAATTTTATTTATGAGCTTTTTATCTCATATGGTATATGTTTCAGCTGATATCGTAATGTATTAATTTAACTGTTAGTGTAGTCAGTCTACTAATACTACTACAACTACTATTAATATTATTGGAAAAGACAGACATTTTTCTCATTACAATTGACTTTCTCTCTCATTGTCAGGTATTTCTTCCGCGTCAATCATGAGATACAATCGCTGGTATCTCGAGGCGGCTCTTCATATAAAAAGAGAGTCTTAAGGGTTGTTTTAGCTCCTCATCACTGATACAAAAGCTTTTCTATCAGTTTCCAGCCTTTCTATACATTAGACGCCAAACAAGCGATAAGTAATGCTTTTCAAGGAGTGGTTGTGTGTATGTGTGTGTGTAATGTTATGTTTGTATATGTTTCTAATGTAAGTAATTCAGTTACAAACTTGTATTTGTATAGTATGTGTGTGTTTCGCATGATTTTTATGAGTACTCATGTATGTTGTTTAATAATAATAATATTACTAAAAATAACTGATTATGGAAAATAAAAATTGAAATTATTATTTATTAAACAGTATTTTTTATGCAATACATACATATTTTTATTGATATATTACATATAAAAAAATAGGAAGTCTTTTAAACATATTTCTCACGACTTGAAGACTTTCTGTTTTATTATTATTATTAGTAGTTTTATTGATATACAGTATCTTTATATCAATTTTGATATCATATGTTATCATGAGTTAGTTGCCAGTGATGTGCAAGTCTTGCACTTTGACTTATTAATGAAAGAGTTCAAATAACATATGATAGAGAGAGAGAGAGAGAGAGAGAGAGAGAGAGAGAGACAGGTTCACACTTGTGTGTGTGTATGGTGTTTAGGTGAATGGTATACCATTACATATATACTGTATATATGTATATATATATATATACACTGGTAGTTTGAGATATAAATGTAATTTACATGTAATTTGCAGGTCGTACCTGTAAAGCCTGATTTTATACATATACACGCATTCCTGAGATTTGGGAAACAGGGCAACAGGTAGTGGCTGTCCATAGCTTCTCTCGGGAAAGGAAATAATGGGCGGGCATTGGCTATACAATGAAATGAATGCTTTTCTATTGACGATCAAAAATACTTTAATACATTCTCGTACTCAAAATTTTAGGCTTTAGTTCGAGCATTTGAGTCCTCAATTTTTAGGCCTATTTTAGTCTATATCTATAGTGGTCCATGACTTCAATGTTGGACAGCACTTGTAGTTTTAGTTTTTCCCAAAGATCATCGATTCTGTGTGTGTAAGCATTCTTTACCCATACAAACACAATGTATCGACAAAACAGTAGAGTTTTTGGCTCTCATTGACGAATGAAATATTAAACTCCATTCATAGCCATTACATTGTCTAATGAACCCAAAAGAAGGGCTACTGTTTGATGATTACCGAAATAAACACCAAAATTCTTGCACTTTCTCACCAAAATAAAAAAAATTTGTACACAAAATGGGAAAAAATGCAAATATAATGAATATTAGCTACAAATGACACATAAAGGGCACAACACATATCAATATAAATTGACACTCTGTTACCTAAAACTGTTTGCCAACACTATTGTTGCTAATCATTATGCTATTGTATTAACCATTAGTTTTTGTTTGTTGGACAGACTGGACATTCTCGATATTCCCGCCATCCATGTTGGCCGCCGCCAGTATAACGACCGCCATCGAGGGCCTGACCCGACTCGAAAACAATAATGTCTGTTATCCGATACCAATGATTAATCAATTGCATCAAATCACGGGATTAGAACTGGTAAGTTAATAGAGAGGACGACATGTCTTTTCCCTCTCCCTTCCCCTCAAAAAAATCTTAATATTCCTCTTAATCACTCTTTCCTCTCAATTATCTTGATTTTGCAAATCATTTTCAAATAATTGAATATCAAAGCGAAAGGAAATTCATTATTATTTTCTTTTTAAAGAGACATACAATTATAAGGCAGACTTTTGTGTGTTAGTGTGTGTGTGTTGTGAACAGTAATTTCATGCCATCCTCTCTCTCTCTCTCTATATATATATATATATATATGGGCGACACTTAAATGCCTGTTTTTGTGTAATCAATTGCCAGTGAAAGCGCGTCTAATTTAATGAACTTTAAAAGAAAATAATAAATTAGATTTGCAAACAAAAGACAATTATATCAGGAATTTAAAAATAAATAAAACAAAAAAATTAGTTTTTACTCAGAAATCGTTAAACGACTGATTGGGGGGACAATCAGGTATTGGCACAGAAAAAACTTTTTTCTTCATCGGTAGGTTTCATGTCAAGTGAAACATTGTATATATATATATATATATATATATATATATATACTACAAGTGCCTGAAGAATCTGTGGCCGATATCTATGCCCACGGGGTGTGAATTCGTGACATCTCTTTGTTTTGCTACTAATAAAAGGTGCGCTCACTATAGCATATAAGCACACAAATTGTTATTTTTTGTATGTGTGTTATAAAAAGCGAACCTAAATAGTGGATTCAGTGCACGTATATACAGTATATATATATATATATATATATATATATATATGTGTGTGTGTGTGTATATGTATATACACTAATATATATAAGTTATACATATATGTGAATGTATATGTGTGAGAGAGACTCTGCTGCCAATACCTGCCAGTGCTGGCAAGCCATTGGTCGTCTATCTTTTGATTAGATCGATGATTATGTTGACCCTCAGCCACATAGCACTAGTACTCGACTACCAGTCCATAGAATTGTGATTTCATTTGCAAATTCTCACGACTTGAAGACTGACTCGACTCCAGACTCATACTATACATATAGATATACATATATATACATACATACACACACACACACACCATGCCTTATGTTTTACACGTTATATTGGTTTATATTCACCACTTTTCACGGTCGTCTCAAACAACTCAATACAAGTGCAAAAATACCACATACAAGACAATGACGTAACGATATGCCTACCATTCCCTCACATCTCTCTCTCTCTCTCTCTCTCTCTCTCTCTCTCTCTCTCTCTCTCTATCTATCTATCTTTCACTCACTGACTCTTTCTTTAGGTTAGCTATCTCTTGTGCTACTCTTATGACTCGTGATTAGTGTTGAATTAAAAAATAAAAGATGAAAATTCTTGGGATGAGTTTGTTTTATATATTATTTTTTTGATGAGAGAGTCATTCAATCATTTAGTTAATAATTTATAACTTAAAAGACTTGGAAACGTCTACTAACCGATAGTTATGGCATTCCTTTCATTTGAATGGTTTCGGCTTTTTCTAAGCTAACGTTCCGATTCTTTATTAGACATTCTCTCATTTCTCTCTCATTTTCTCACTCATCCCTCAATAAGTTGGCCTCTCATCTATCTATCTCTCTAATGTTGGCCCTATCCCTCTCTATCCCTCTTTATTCCACTAAATCTATGCCTATGTTTTGCCATCGGGTGGCAACTGATGATCGTGTCCGCAGCTATTTGTCAATACAAGTGCTTTCTGGCCATGGCTTATATACATATAGCTTTAGTGGGCAAAATGTAAAACTGCGTGAAGGTCTTCACTGGCAAACGGGGCTAACAGTGGAATGGGAGGCAATTTCCAAATTCCAACTTTATAGCTGCCGACAGGCATTCCGCCATCCAGTAGTGTATAGTAGGCATTGGCAGTCATGTATACTTTTGGAATAGGGTTACACCACGCCTCCATGTGCTATGTGGCAACTTCTTGTTCACAACGAGAGTTGAGTCCCCCTCTATCTATCTATCTATCTCTCTCTCTCTCTCTCTCTCTCTCTCTCTCTCTGCCATACCATCCACAACAACAGTCACTATCCATCTCTATTCAGTGGAAGTGACGCTCCACTCATTACTAGTTGCCATACATATTGAACCACCACTTGTTCCTCTAACTTGTTCTCAGAGTTATTGCTTTTTTTGATTTAAATGTAAAATATCGCCTCAAATGCATCTCCGGGTCTCTCACAAGTGTTTCACAAGTTTTACCAATGCTTGCATTGATGTGTATGTGTGTGTCTATGGTGTTGGTTGCCCTTAAGCCATATTATTTCAGTGTTTTTCGGGCATAATATGAGTGTTAAATTTCCCATTAGCTCTCTCTCTCTCTCTCTCTCTCTCTCTAAACAATAGAGCCACAGAAAAATTCAAACAAAATATTGGTATAATTTTTTTTAGATCTACTTAATGACTTCTAAACTATTTTCTAAACTATTACTTTACCTTTTTAAAAGGCCCTAAAATAATAGATATATAGAGTAACATATAATATATAAATAAAATTAAAAAAAAAGTTTCTTTTAATATAAACGTTTTCACCGATGAAAAGATTCATTAGTTTTTTTTGGAGCGCAAACTTTTTTTTTATATTTTAGTTTTATTTGATTACAGCAATCGTTTTCTCAATTGTTTTATATTTTTATTAATTTAATGACCACTACTTTATGGTCTTTCTAACACTTAAATATCGGGTCTCACATATATAATATATATGCCAAACACCACAACAACAACAAAAATTCAGTGAACTAATCGCTAATAAAGCTTTCAATCCTCTTTGTGTTAACTAAGCAAACTGAATACATACACACTAACACCACACACACACACTATATGGCACAATAAGGCATATGTATGAACAGTACGATGAAAAGTATGAATTCCTATGAATGACTATACATTTAATTCCGAGAAACCCATCAGAGAGTAGTATGTGTTTGGATTGTTGTATATGTTTGGGTCTATTTGTATGGCTCTCTGTTGGGCTCTCTCTTTCTCTCCCTCTCTTTAACAACAAAAAATTCATTAGTTATTTTTGTGTGAAAGCATTTTATGCATTCATTTTACGCGTATTGTGACCCAAATTGAAAATTAATTTTTGGCAAAATCTATTATTATTAAGAGAGAGAGAAAGAGAGAGAGAGAGAGAGATTCATATCTATTATGCGTGAAAATTGATAGTATTAATGAAAAATGGTAATAATGCACAACTATTTAACTATAAATAACTACTAATTATTAATCTCATATTGAATAAGTTAAATGTGCTAAATAACTTTTGATACCCAGAATATATATATATTATTTATCTAATAAACCTTGCTAATTTTATTAGAATCTTGAAGTTAATAAAATAATTATTAATATATGTAATTGAAAAAATAAATAAATTCATGTAAACAAATTATATAGATTAATTTAAATTACCAATTAAGTTAACTAATGGTCATTAATTGGATAATTTTTATAAATAAAAATCACAGATTTTTAAAAACTTTTTTTGTGTATACTTTCGGTCACTTTACTCGTAAGCTCGAAAAATAGGCCACACTTTTAACGATATATGTAGTATTGGGAGTTCAACTCTTTTTAAACAAACAAATTGATTACAAACAAAAACAAAACAAAATAACCAAAAGAGCAACAAAAAAATCAAAGAATCCGATGGCGTTTGCAAACCATTTGGTCCGTCTATCAGTCCAGTTGTCTGAACCTAATCACGATTTCTCCCAATCCTAGACCCATATGTGTTAGGCTATTATTTCAGACAACACTGAAAAAAGAGAGGAATCGGCACTTTTTTTCTTTTAATCTAAACGCTATAATAACATATTTTTTAATTGGTATATAATTACTTATTTTATTTTTTTTGTTTCTTTAAACTATTTTAGGATCTGTTGCGTGAATGTCAGCTCCAGATTGAGCGCATAATGTCATCTCATTTATCAGCTGACATCAAGAGTGCCAACTCTGAAAACTATCCGCAAAAGTTTACAGATACCAGAGTTAACAATATAGCCAATACCGGGCCGACGACAACAGAGATGGTGTACCCAATGAAACATCAAACATATATCGATACCGACGACTGTTCACTTAATAATAATAATAATGAGAAATCAATGGCTGAAGTCCGGGATATTCACTATTGAAAGGCATCGTGTGATCAGACATTTCAACAAATAAAAAAAAGAGGAAGAAAACAATTAATTTAATTTTCAATTTTTTTGTTGGTTGAATCGCAGCTCAATTTTGTTTGTTTGTTTTAATGATATATCTATATCTGGGATTTGTGCCAATAATTTCAATATTATTATTATTATTATTATTATTATATAATATATATTTATCAAATATATATATAAGACATCGACAAAAAAATATCAACGAAATTATCGTTTGAAGACATCGACGAAAAATTCCGGAAATTAGACACTAATATAACCAAACAATTCATATCATATTTCAAGTCATACTTTCAAGTAAATATAATTTCATGATTTTGTTTTATATACATATATTTTAAAATGTAAAAAACATACATACATACAAACACATACTTTTTTTTATTAAAAAAAATTGTAATCAAATTGTATGAATATTTTAAACAAAAAATACCATTACTTGAAACAAAAATCACACATACAATCAATATAACTAATGCACATAGAAATAGATTGAAACAAAATATTGCTAATCTAAGCACATTAATTAAAATTATATATTGATATAATAATTTAGGGACAAAATTGTTGAATAAGTTCATTGAAAAAAAAGCACAAGAAAAATGTTATATTTAAAAAAAATGTTTAAACAAAAAATATCGCAACTAGATAAAATTAAAGTTGACGATTTAAAAAAGATAGTAAAAAAATATTTTTTTTTTTTTTAAATAATTTTGTTGTGTAGAAGAAAACAAAAAGTTAACTGTAATGGACAAGAAAATTGTTTTGTATAAACAAACAAACAAAAAAAGATTTGATAAATTGATTCAATCAATTAATTTGATTTTTGTATGATATGAAAAATATGGTATAGAGAGAGAGAGAGAAAAAGAGAGATAGAGAGAAAAAATGATGAGTTATTTTATTTTTATTATTTTTTTTTTGATATGTTATATCCATATATAAATATATATGAATGAGATAATGCAGAGCTAGTCAGCCCTCAGACGCCTAAACCTAATATAAATGACACGAAAAAAATAAGAGAAAAATTAAATGAAAAAATAAACTCAATTTAATATTTCCGCTGTCAATGTGTGCACACAATTGAGAGGACATACAGACCATAATGAAGTCTATTCATTCATTCATTCATTTTTTTGTATTTAATTAATTAATTAATTATATTTTTTAAAAACCAAATAATTTTCGGCAAACATTCATTCAATTTTAGATAATTTTCGATACTATTTGCTCCACTATTCTTGCCCCCAATCCTCCACCCCTCCCTACCCCCCAACTAATAAAACAAACACATATATACACACAAACATTTGTTGTCATAAAAAAACTACTGTAAAATAATCTCTGAAAATATTTGTTTTTTGTCAGTTTGTTTTATAACTGCTATTAAATTGTATAAATAGTTTATTTATAGTTTTTTTCTTTCTTTCTTTTTTTTAAAGAGAAAGCGATAATTTAAATTTAATTAATTAATTGACACAATAGTAGACTGTTGTAATATCAAAGATTTTTTTTAAAACAAAAAATGTTTTTATAAATAAGACATTATTTTTTTGGAAAAATAAATAAATAACAAATTTGTTATAATATAGTTATAGATAGAGAAAAAATAATATTTTTGAAACACATTCCTTGAGTGAACAAAAAAAAATAGTTACTAAAAATGAGGTCTTGTTTTGGTCTGAAAATAATGATTATTATATTGCAGTCAATATAAGTCAGTCAGTCTTACATACGGTTTGTTCCCATATAATGGAGTTTTAACTATAAGGAGAAACTTATGGTGCAAATCGTGTAAAACTGTGTGAAAGGGTCACAAAAAATACACTTTTAATAAAAATAATTATTATTAATAATAATATTTTTGTAATAATGATAATGTTTTTTTATCAGATTTTTTTTAAGAAACTATTTTTATATATTTTATAAGAGAAAATAAATTTTATTATTATAAATATTATGCCATTTGTAAATGTATTCAATTTTTTCAACATTGAATGAAAAATTGATTTAAAATTCACTTTAAGTCAATGAAAATAATTAAAATAAATAATAGTATTTTTTGATGTGTAAATTGTTTAGATAAGAGACTAAATGTTTTAATTTGAGAGCTAAAAGAAATCTAATATTTGATAATAAAATTAGTTGAACACATTGTCATAACTTTTCGTTCAATTTTTTAAAATAAAATATAATTTTTATAAATATATGTATTTTATTAATAATATTAATATTCTTTATTATTGATATATAAAAAAATGTATAATTTAAATATAAATATATATATAAATATAAATATGTTATTATAAAACTTATGTGATTTTACTTTTTTTTTAATTAATTTGTATAATAAAAAATTCAATTTATTTTTTCAAAATAACTTCAATAACTAAAATAATTTTTTTCAAACACCAACCACTACCACTTCAGTCATTAGCACATCTATCGGTTCGGCGACAAAGCAATCACTACCACTTCAGACATTAGCATAAAAATAAATAAATAATAGTTTTGAAAGAGTTTTCAAAATATCTAATAAAGAATAAATTAATATTACTATAAATATATCTAAACAAAAGTTTAAGCAAAAAAAGTGTAAATTGGGGGGTATGACCATTGATAACGATCATCAGTCAGCTCCCAGTCGACCTTTAAGGATATACCACTTATGAATACGACTACTATTACCCGACACATATCTTGCACTCGTTGACCGGTAATCTTTAATCTATCGTCACTCTGGTTATGGATTTCATTGACGACATTCATATATTTGATATCCCGATCGTCATTAATGATCACATTTTTGTTGTTATTTATTTTTAAAATCACCGCTTAGTTGTCATTATTTAGTTTTAATTACAATTATCACTAAATTCAATGAAATTAATTAACTATTTTATATATTAAATTTTATATTAAATTGAAGTTTATTAATATTGAACACAACATTTGGCGAAACTGTCAGAAATATGTTTGGACTATAAAACAGATCACTAAATAATTAGCAAACTATCGATTAATAGATTTAATTAAATTAGTTATTATTGTTAACTACTTATTATTCAAATATAATCTGAATTTTAAAACATTTTTTTAATTAAAACTTTTTTTTAACGACAAATGCTATCATTAGATGTCATGACATATGTATTAATACTTTATAAGTAATTCATGTGTTGTTTGGTTTTGAAACCCAACACAACATTGCATTGCATTTGTGTTTCAATTGATTACTATATTAACCGTTAAATAATAGTTTAAATAGCAATCAATTAATTGAATTGTTTTTCAATCTATTAATCAATTATTATTATATTTTAAACAAACAATTGAATCATTTATTTGTTAAATAAGTTTTGAATGACATTTGATTTTTATTGTCTGAATGTTGACATCAAGTGATGAAACACTGAATGAAGTGGTGGTGAGTGTTGTGTTTGACACTCAAAGACAGGCAACCATTGCCTACAAGACATTGATTGTCGACAAAGAAGTCCGAAGTGATGGTGTGATTGTCGACAGAGATATCAAAGTTGACAACAATTTACTGACAATTGAAGTGAAGAGCAATCGATTGAAACGATTGAGAGTTTGTGTCAAATCATTGCTTCAGTCGTTGGACTTAATCATTGAAACGATAGACAAGTTTGACATCAAAGATAAAACCGAAGACAAAGCAAACAATGAGTGATTGGTTGCCGACATCCGATACAAGCAGTGGTCATCCGAACGGCCAGAACGGGGACTCGCGTTCACCGAATCCGAGTCCAAACACCGGTCGTTGTATTTATGGTTTTGTATTGTTTTTGGTCTCAATTTTGATGTTTTTGTTGTACTTCTTGTACGCCATAATCACAACACAAGTGTTTCAAAGCATAGGTTTGACTTATTTTGAGCGCAAGTATTGGTCGCTCGCAATCCCGACACAGATATTGGTCTCAATTGTGATGTTTGCTGTCTGTCTCTACCCATCGGTTAACTATCTGTTCACTCCATCACTGAATCACTGCAACACTTTGTTTGACTCAAACACTCGCAACACATCATCAGTGAAGACATCATCGATGGACACAATGGAGACAAAAGAAGAGAAAAGTCATCGCAAAGCTATTCCTCCGATTCAAGACTTGAAACCAGACTTTGTTTCACAACAATTATATTTAAACTAATTGTCGATTCAATTAATATTAAATTTTTTTATATGAATTACAGCAAAGTTTTAAGTTATGTTAACTAATTAGAAATAGTTTAATAAAAAAAAATTATTGATTGAAATGTTTGTAAAAAATTATTAACAAATTGTTAATACAGTCTGTTTAGTGAAAACATATTTTAGATCCAAAACATTACAAATAATTATTTTATGAATTCACGCGATATTTATCCATCCATTTGAATGATTTTTATTGAATTCAAATTCAATACAATTTTCTACATTTAGTTCTAAACTATATTTAAACTAAAAGAAAAAATATTATCAAATAATTGTTTAATAAGACAACAATTTGTGTATTAATGTGTAAAATATTCTTAACTTTTTATTTATTCAATTGTTATTTGATTTAATTTTGTTAATCAAAACTAAGATAATGATCACAACAACAACTGTACAGTTGATATGTTTGATTCAATTAGTCGTATGGATGGTCAGTGCCGACACAAACAGCACATCTCAATATGACATAAAGTTATGCAATTTATTGTACGGTAATTACCGGGTATTTGAAGCTTTTTTCTACAAGAAAGGCTTAGCAGTACTGTTGGAGGACAGAAACGCCGTCCGACCGGATGATCCGTTCAGTAATAAGAAATACTATTATTATATCGAAGACTTGGATACATCACAACTGGAAACTGGAGGTCTGGTTAGGTTTACAAAGATGTATGAGTTGGCAGAGAAAAACATATGGAGAAAGCGATTAATCGGTAATAACTTGTTTTGGATGAAACACTTCTTCTGGATGCGAACTAATGAAAAATATGAAACTAAAATTGATGGCAAACAAAGAATTCTTGTCGGATTGAATCAGACAATAGTATGTATTTATATCTAAGAAATTACAGTAAATTTATATATTTATTTAATATTGTTGTCATTGTGTCTTATATTTAGTCTGATGGCAAAACATTGTTAAGTACTCATCTGTTTGTTATATACGATGTCGAAGGAATTAAATATCCGGATCCGTGGTATTATAAAGAGATCAATACAGACATCTATAAGTACATACCGGGCGAAGATCCCATGAATTTGATGACATTGTTTACTAAGTTTCCGCAAAAAGATTTAGTCGATCGCATACATTCGATACTTGTGCTGCCAGTCCTTCCCGATGTGCTACCTGTGCGACTATTTGTTTATTATATGGGTAAAACAAACTATAGAAATATTATGGTTTATTAAAATAATGATAATAGCAATAACATTGTGTGTTGTGTTTGATTTTTTTTCCAGAGAAGCCACCAAAGAGCCAGGAAAATGTCGGTAATAATTGGAATTATTTTAAGAGACACGTAATGGAGGCCAAGTATGTTGACTATGGGACGCGCCGGGAGATAGACTGGAACTATCTGCCAGTAAACGACAGCTCCAATTGTGTGGACAATGAGATCGTCAACGCAACGGCTCTTCTCAGCGATGAATACGAAAAGGTTGGAAATCAGTATTCATTTAAACTGATTGAGTTCCGCGACGACAAGTATGTCATTAAGTATGGACACCAAAACAAGACATATGCCGGAAATACATTAATGGAAATCAAACGCGGATTTGTTTATCAACTGTTCAATTGTCCGGTACCCTCGCCGCCGCGTCCAACATTCCCATCAATATAGCATCTTTTGATACCCGACCCATATCGAGCCGAAATCTTTAAGTTGTCGTCACTCTGGTTATGGATCTCATTGACGACATTCATATACTTGATATACCGATAACAATAAAGATCACATTTTTTTCTACTTATTTTTAAAACACCGCTTATTATCATTTATTTAGACATAATTACAAATACAACTAAATTCTATGATTATCTAATAATTTAATTCATTATACTGTAACTTAGCTACTATTACATTATACTGTATATCAAAAAAAAAGTTGATTAATAACATTATTTTAATACTTGTATTTAGATATAAATAGAGTTTTATAATACTTTATTTTATGTTATTATTTTATAAATTAGAAATAACAATTTTTTACATAAATATATTTATATTAAACATTATTTTATATATAAATTTTTATACTATCCATGGATACAACAGGTATATATACCCAACAGATATCGAGCACTCGTTGACCGGAAATCTTTAAGTTATAGTCACTCTGGTTGTGAATCTCATTGACGACATTCATATACTTGATATCCCGATCCCAATATTGATAATAATTTTTAAAATCTTATTTTTAAAGCATTGCTTAATTGTCATTATGTAGTTTTAAATACAAATATCACTAAATTGTATAAATGAATGTAATAATTACTTATTTTAAAGATATCATATCAAAGTTTTTAATAACATTATATTATTGAATATTTTATATATAATTTATATACTTGTATTTTATATATATATACCGTTTATTATTATTAATGTAGACTAATTATTACTTATTAGTGTATTAATTTACAACTAAAAAAAATTATTTTGTCGGTTCAAAGCTTATAACTGGGACTTAGTATGTCCACCGAAGTTGACCAGTGGACGCTATTTCCGAAATTTTATTATAACTATAAATAACTATTTGTTGGGTTAGCAACTATAAAAACTTATAAATACTGTAACTATTTCAATTATTTTTAAAATATAAGCATTAAATTGTAAAATATTGTACAAATATATTTAAAAACAAAAAGTAATAGTTATATAATTGATATAAAATGTGTAAACTGTTATCAACTCATATTACTTTTTTAACAATAGAAATAATTAGTTTATTTGTACATCATTTTTGTAGATATGCTGAAAACAAGTGAAATGTTGGAAATCAGTTGGAAATATTTATAAGAAAATAAATAACTATTTCAATAACTATTTGGTTTTTTTTGGCAACTATATACAACTATTTAATACAGTTTAAATAACTAATAATCAATGCTTTAATTATTATTTATAACTTTTGTTTAACTAGTATTTTATCGATAAGAGATATATTTCATATGTAAATTGTATAATACTTTATTTTAAATTAAATTAAACACGACTTAGAAACAAAAAAAAACTTTATTCACAACAAATTTTAACTTTATTTGAATTAACATTTAGAAGAAGTTTTTTTTAAGTTTAACTGTAATTTTCACAATAAATGTTATTATAATTAGAAGTTAAATTATTGTGTTTTTTTAAAAATAAAATATAGTTTTCTAATAAGATCATGGTTAATTATATAATTATTTATAATAGATAAAATAAATAGCAATGATAAATAATATATAACATATTAAACTAAATATGTTACAGTATGTTAATAGAAATCAAAACTGTTTTTGCATAAATTATTATTTATAAAACACTAATATATATTACTTTTAGCGTAAAATTGTTATAAAATGTTGTAATTTTTGGGTAAGTTTACTAACAATTGTTTCGCTAAATTTTAAATAATATTTTCAAATAAAAAACCAAACAATTAATCATTTAATGAACGGTACTTTTCTTTACATTAAATTATGTCAGATATGTACTGTATTTGTTAAACAATTAATTGAAACCAAATATTTTATATTTATATTTAGTTTAGAAAATAACAATTAGAAAATTATTAACTAATGGTAGAAATAATGAAAAAAAAATTATATAACATATTATTGCATTGATTTGATTGACTAGTTATTGAATTAAAGAATATTTTTACTTTGATATATTCAACATACAGTATATATATAACTTTAAGTATAGGTTTGGCGATAAATACAATGATTGTTATATTTTTGTTATAATGTTAAATATATGGATAATATTGAGGACTCTTTTATGTTTCAAAGCAATACATATATACAGACAATTGAATTAGTTTTTGATGGTTGCGCTCACAGAATATATTTGAATAGCAATTTCTAAAAGTAAAATAACAATAAAAAAAAGTTTATATTTGATTGCATTGTATGTGTTATTGCTATTCATTCATAATATAAAAATTATATACAGTATTATTGGTATTCAAAACTATGTGTTAGTGTTAGCGATTTTAACATCACATTTACCAATATATTATGATCTCTCTCTCTCTCTCTCTCTCTCTCTCTCTCTCTCTCTCTCTCTCTCTCTCTCTCTAAGTTACGATGCGATCCATTTAACGCCTTTTCTGACCGCATCTCTTAAAACTAGTCAAAGGGCGGACCAAATAATAATAAAAATATAAAAAGTTTAAGATAAGTGAGTGAGTGAGTGAGTGAGTGAGTGAGTGAGTGAGTGAGTGAGTGAGTGTGTGTGTGTGTGTGTGTGTGTGTGTGTGTGTGTGTGTGTGTGTGTGTGTGTGTGTGTGTGTGTGTGTGTGTGTGTGTGTGTGTGTGTGTGTGTGTGTGTGTGTGTGTGTGTGTGTGTGTGTGTGTGAGAGAGAGAGAGAGAGAGAGAGAGAGAGAGAGAGAGAGAGAGAGAGAGAGAGAGATGAGAGCTTAAGTGTTCACTTCTTCCGCCAACATTGTGTACATTATCTTTCGCTCCAATGATTGTTTAAAACATTTTTTTTTTTGAAAGAGAGACCCAATACTACAGTATTGTTATTGTAATATAGTATATGTGGTGAACACACATACTGTATACTACTATATATCACAAATGCAGGTGTGAGGAGATGTATTAAAAACCACTGTCTATCTAATACTACTACTAATACAATATTTAACATAAGACATACCAAACATAGACTGCACACATTTATATACTATAGTTTAGACCGCATTTGTGACCAGTATTTTGTTGGCTCCGATTTCAACTAATTTTTTTTGTAACACTTATTATTGCATCAAATGGTAATGCATTTACAAGAATACCATTTACTTTAAATACATATATAAATTATATACAATGAAATGGTCACTAAAGCGTGAATATCCACTCACCAGAGATTTACACATTTTTTCGGGGAAAGAGAGAGAGAGACCTCCCATTGCTTATCGCTAACACTTCCATCATTGCAATCCAATCCTAGATGAAGAAGAAGATACAATTTTACCACTAAAAAACCCACACAAAGATATATATATATAATTTTTGTTGATTTTTTTATGAGAAACCTGTTTTAGCAAAAAAAAAATTCCTAACCATTTAATAGGAGACAAGAAAAGTCGGCTCTCATCTCATCAATTGTATTGCATATGAATTGATTGACCCCTTGATTGAGTGAGTGATGGACTGATAAAGTGATGGCATATGGGATGAGCACCTAATTGTCTTATTAGAGGCCCGTGTATTAACATGTTATTACATGTCTTTATTTAGCTACAGGTGTGCCTATTTATAGTAGATGTAGTAGTTTTTAGTACTCTATGGTTTTGTTATACAATTGTTCTCAAACCCATAATAACAATAATAATGTTAACAATTATTTGTTGGCAATAAAAAAGGTGTTTCAATAAAGCAAAACAAACCGATTCAATATATTATTTAATTAAATAATTTTATTTTGTGTGCCAACACCTTTGAATTAGTATTTTATTATATTTTATAAATGATTAATAATTTAACTTTAATTTTTGTGATTAGGGAAATAAAAATTCAGTGCATATTATTGTTAAGTACAGTATATATTAATATATGCGTTTAAGTATTGATTTAATTGTTTGATTTAATAATATGATACTTAATGCGATAATGATGTAGTGATTTATTGCAGTAATTAATAATTTGTCTCTTTTGAATATTACATAAAATATATTGTTATAAAATTAAATATTATTCAGATTATTACATTTTAATATATATAATATATATTAGAATTATTAGTAATAAATACATAAATTAAAATAAATTAGTAGTAAATAAATAAATTTATTATAATTAAGAAAACTATTAGTTTTAAATATAAATATAATATTTTAGTATTTGTAACAATAATATTAGTTATTAGTAACTATTACTTACTTAACTTTTACCTTTTTTTACTGTTAGCTATTACTTAACTTATTACTTAATATTAATTATTATAGTTAGCTATAAATTGTTACAAAATAAATTTATTAACTTTTCTATTATAAATTATTTTTTGTTGACTAGTTTTTATTGTAATTTTACTAACATTACTGATAACTAGAAAAAAGTTAATAGAAATTTGTTGTTGTTAATAATTATTGTCAATCATTAGATAATTTTAAAAAAGCAAATGTAAAAAATAAATTAATGTTTATTAAAAAAAAAATATTTTACAACCAATTATCACATTTGTTAAGCAAAGTTTGTCAAGAGTTTTATTGATTAAACAACTCTATAAGAGAGAGAGAGAGAGAGAGAGAGAGAGAGAGAGAGAGAGAGAGAGAGAGAGAGAGAGAGAGAGAGAGAGAAAATTAACTTATTATATAAATACACAACGCTTGGCATTTGTAGTCTGTGGTTGTACTGTACCAGTAATATAGGAGTTGTTATTATATATACAAAATGTACAAATGTATAGACAATGTTTAACTCAAATATTTATAAAAGTGTTGTTAAGAGCATAACATAACATAACATTTACAATAAACACCAACAAAACTGAGAGATACAGAAAACCCATGTATGATGTGTTGTTCTGTTCAATGGGTCGGACATTCAATAATTATTTTTATGAGTTTAAAATTTTTTTTTTATTTGAAACCCGCATTACATTAATTGAAATGCTTGTGTAATGTGTTGTGTGTGTGTTTGACGAGTGGCTAACAAAAATGCACTCAATTTTCTCTCACTTTATTTTTATGTCTTCAAACTATATTTTGCTTTAAAACCAATCACTGGTTGACTTAAAGGTTAATAGCATAGGTATATAATAAAAAAC